TGAGGGATTTGGGGACATCATGTGACCATGGACTGATCACTTGAGGGATTTGGGGACACCATGTGACCATGGACCTGGTCACCTGAGGGACGTGGGGACATCATCCCCCTCACCATCATGGACCTGGTGCCACCATCCCCCTGATGACCCCCAGACCACTGTCAGCCCAATGTCACCATTGGCCTCATGTTCCCTCCTGGTGTCATCACTGCCCTGATGTCCCCAAGGCCACCACCTCACCTTGTCCCCTCTTGGTGACACCACTGCCACAATATCCCCAAGGCCACCATCAACCTGATGTCACCACTGAACTTGTGTCACTTCCTGGTGTCACCATGGCCCTGATGTCCCCTGTCCCCTCCTGGTGCCACCACCAACTCCAAAGCCACCTTCATATGTCACCATTGGCCCAGTTTCATCTTTTGGTGCCACCAATGCCCCGATGTCCCCAAGGCCACCATCACCACAGTGTCACCATTGGCACAATGTCCCCTCCTGGTGCCACCACCAGCCCTATGTCCCCAAGGCCACTGTCACCGCAGTGTCACCATTGGCCTTGTGTCCCCTCCACGTGCCACCCCCCGTCCCCAAAGCCACCACCAAGCTGATGTCCTCTCCTGGTGCCACCATCGCCCTGATGTCCCTGAGGCCACTATCTACCCATGTCACCTTGTCCCCTCCACGTGCCACCCCCCAGCACTGTCCCCTGTCCCCATGTCCCCCCTGATGTCCCCCAAGTGCCACCACCCCCCGAGAACCAAGTCACCCCTTTTTTTTTAACCTTTTTTATTAATTTTCCCCATTTGTTGGGCTGGTTTGGGGGGGTTCCACCCCAAAATAAACCCGTCCCTCCCCCCTCCACGTGTCGCTGCACTTGGGGACACTCGGGGACACTTGGGGACACCTCAGCACGTGCTGGCGGCTCCTGTGAAGAGAGGGGGGATTAGGGGGGGCCCCCATTGTCCCCAAGGTCCCCTCCAATGTCCCCAAGTCCCCCCTTTGTCCCCAGTGCCCTCCCCCTTGTCCCCAAGTCCCCCAGATGTCCCCAAGGGGGGAGAGGACACTCACCTGTCCCAACCAGGTGTGACATCTCGGGGGGGTGTCGTCGGTGGCTGTGGGGGGTGGGCAGGGTCAGGGACACCTCTGTGTCCCCACTGTCCCCTTGTCCCCCCCAGTGTCCCCCCCCAGTGTTCCCCTGTCCTACCTGGCCTTGCTCTGGCACTTGCACTTCCCACCTGTCAGGGGACACAAGAGGTGACACAAAGAAGGTGACACAGGGACCCCCCAGGTGACATTAGGGACCCCCAGGTGGCATTGGGGACCCCCCAGGTGACACAAACACCATGCAGGTGACATTGCTGCCCCCCCCCCCGCCAGGTGAAACTGGGGACAGTCCCAGTTGGCACCGGTGACACTCACTGAGCAGGACGATGAAGCCCAGGACACACAGGACGGCGGCAACGCCCAACCCGGCCACG